TTATCAGTTCTGGTGGGAACCCTCCCCAAATCCAAGTTCCCAGATGCAAGCCAAGGGCCAACAGTTCTAGCAGCTCTTTCTAAGGATAATAGTCTCAAGCCTGCACACGTGGGTACTTCTCTGCACACATGGATACTGTTATTATTTTCACTGTTTTACTGATAAGCAAACTGGGGCAAGAGAAGTGAAGTAACACTTGCCTAGATCACACTGTCAGCTAATTAAAGTCTGACTCTGTGTCTCAACCACAGTAGGACATTGCCTCTGAAAAAGGTCCNGCTAATTAAAGTCTGACTCTGTGTCTCAACCACAGTAGGACATTGCCTCTGAAAAAGGTCCCATTACTCTAAAAGACATGTCATTATAACATTCTTAAATGAACAGATTTTGTCACATTTTATGATGGGTCAGCAGACTTTTCTGTAAAGGACCAGATGTTAAGTGTTTTAGGTTTTGTGGGCCATTTAATCTCTGTAGCCACTGTTCAACTCTGTCATTTTGGCATGAACAACGTGAAAACAGATGACTATGGTTGTGTTCCAATAGAACTTTATTTTCAGACGCAGAACTTTGAACCTCAGAGCACAGCCTTATAACACCAAGGTCATGGGTTTGGATTCCTGTACTGGCCAACTGCCAAAAAAAAAAAAAGAAATTTGAACCTCATATAATTGTGATATGTCACAAAATGTTATTCTTTTGATTTTTTTCCCAACCATTTAAAAAATGTAGAAATCATTCTTAACTCATGTGCCATACGAAAAGTCAGAGGGCCAGATTTGGCCCACAGGTCATAATTTACCAACTCCTGATCTCTAAATGTATTCTTTTTTTGTTACATGAAAAAGACTAAAATAATTGTATACCATCCTGGCAAAGGGTGGATAGGACAAACACTCTCATGATTGCCTGTGGGGATGGAAATTGGAATGTGGCCTTTCTAGAAAACAGTTCAGCAGTTTGTGGTAAGAGTACTTTTTTAAAAGGTCGTGTTCTTTGAGTCAGTAATTCTGAGTATCTGTCCTGAAGAAAGAATTAGGTGTATGCAGAGAGATTACTGCTTAAAGTTATTAATCTCCCTAACCCATTTATGAGCAGCCCTGTCAAATGCAAAAATGTATCTCAGAGGTATGGAAGGATACTCACAAAAGTCTTGCCTCAAGGGGTGCAGGTCACGGTGTCACAAGGCAAAATGTGGATAGTCAAGGGAAAGTCATCTGATGAGCAGCTCGCCTGACTCCGCGGCTGTGCTCTTTCCTCATTAAACAGATCATGTCTGGTTCTTTGCACAAAATGCAAAGTTCAGAGAGATGTGACTCTGTTTTCCCTATTGAACCAGGGATGGGGTTATGCCAGTATGGTGAAGACAGGAGACACTCTGCTCTTTCCGCTCTCCCTTTTGTGTTGCAGACATTGTTCCAATCCTGACGTCTACTGTGATCGAGTGTCACAGGGCAGGCCTGAAGAACTCTGCTTTCAGCTTTGCAGCTATGTTGATGAGGCCTGAATACCGCAACAAAATAGATGCCAAATACAAAAAGAAGATTGAGGCCATGGTCAGGTAGGCAGAGACAGCTAGTTCCACTACCTAATCACATTTTACAAAAATATTTTTCAAAATGTAGTTGCTGATGCTCGGGCTCAATGAGAACACGGATAGGGGAAGCAAAGAATTGCATTCAGCTACCAGCAGCAGAAAACCCAACAATAGCCTGAACAAGTCAGGATTTATTTGACCCATACACAAAGCATCATGGTCCAGGGCTGGTGCCAGTGTGTCTGATGCCAACAAGCACAGACCCCTCTGTCTTCCAGCTTTGCCATCCATAGCACAGAGGTTTCTTCCTCATGGTTGGAAGACATCTGCAGCACCTCCAGGCATCACATCCCCATTCAAGGCAGGAAGAAGTGGGTAAATGAAAGGGAAAAAGAGTCCTTGCTTTTTTAGTCAGGAAGGCATCGTACCCAGGACTCTCCTTTTCACCTCATTGGCCAATACTCTGCCACATAGTACCTCTAGCTGCAAAAGCATATTTCTGAGGGGAATGAGGTCCTGTTGGCAAGGAAGAAGGAGAAAGAATGGCTTTTAGGTAGGCAGGCATCACACAGTGTCTGCCACAGAGGGACGAATAAAATAGTGAATACTCCCAGTGTGAGAAACTTCATGTTAACACATCCCGTTGCCAGCAGAGAGTTCATTTCCAAATCTTGTGCACCTCCAAATGTCCTCACTTCAGAAAGCAGTAAGCGGCCTTGTTATCTAAAGGAAACCTGGGGAAAAGTCGCACTAGCATTTACAAAAGGAAAAGTTAATTGCAATCATGCAGTAATTCTAAACTACCACTTGTTCAGAGATGACATTTGGGGTATCTATTAGTCGCATTATGACCAAGGAACCCAGATATACCTAAATCTCGACCCAGACCTAGCCAAGGGAGATGACTGCACTGATAATGGCAAATGGAAGTAAATAACACTTTGTTGTTAGTTGGGCTTGGACCAACCCTCATAGCAGAGAACTCTAAGCTGGATGGAGCTAAATGGAATGCTCCTTCTTTTAAAAGCTGATAAGCCTATATAGCTTCGAACCAAATCAGTCCAACCCAATATTCCTGCTAGTATAGAGAGTGAGGTGGGGAGAAAGTAACTATGAAATGCAAGATCATATTGACCCTAAGAGCTTAGTACCACACTGACCTGGGCTCTGGCTTGGGAGAGATGCTAGTCATTCTCTCCCCAGGCACGAGGGGTCTGTAGCTGTCTGGTCCAACATGTTACCCACTAGCCACGTGTGGTTACTGAAATTGAAATTAATTGAAATAGAATAAAATTTAAAACTGAGTTTCTCATACTACCCATATTTCAAGTGCTCAAAACTACATGTGGTCCTAGAACCTGACCAGTCCTAAGTATTCTTCCTCCTCTCTGGAGCTGGATTGAGGGCTGATGGTGAGCTTGTCAGTATCTCTCATCTCAGAGTCTGACTATAAAGAGTAGGTGTGTTACACGTTCCCAGTTTTCCAAGTATGCGCTCTCTCCACTGTCTGTGTACGTAAAATAAAGTGGTGTTTTTAAACAACACATGATTCTCACTCACAGGAGACCTGATACATCTGAGACAGAAGAGGCCACAACCCCATGTCCATTCTGTGAATTTCTTCTCCCGGAGTGTGAACTCCTCTGTCCTGGATGTAAAAACAACATCCCGTATTGCATTGCCACAGTAAGTTTCTTTATAATAATTTCCCTTTCTTTGCATATATATATTTATAACCCATTTGAATACTTGATGTATGTCAATATTTTCTTTACAAATAATCTTATTCCTCAAATTTCTTGCATATCTTTACATAACAGTTAGCATATAATTTCATGATCATCGAAGTTGAAAGTTATACTCGAAGCATATAATAATCTAAGTGAAGGCCCCATCAGGAAGTCTCTGTGGGGCAGGCAGTATAGCACTGATGTGGGGTCAAACAGTCCTGGGCTTAAATCCTTTTTCTGCCACTTTTTGGCTACATAACCTGGCACTATTTGCTTTACCTTGCTAGGTTCATCTGTAACAATACCTGCTTACTGAGATCAACTACTGATTGATGAGATAACATGTATGAAGCCCTGGTACCATATGGCATGCAGTAACACTTTATAAGTGTAATTTTTATCATTTTAATTTTAAGACCTATTCTCAGAAAAATTTTGAATATCAGATTATTTGTTAGTCACTGGGCTAATATAAGCTTTATCTTAAAGAAAAATAAATTCAGGTAATGATGTCACAAAGTTGACGATTATTTTTCCTTTAAACGTGAACCTGATAAGTAAAACCGAGCTTTAGACCCTTTGATGCCATCTCTTTCTTTCTTACCCACCTGTGTGAAATATCAATAATTTCATCATTTAAGAGGTCTGGCTTTTAACTGTAATTTAATTATCATAAATGAATAATGGTGGGAGTTTTTAAAACAAAGATGAATTTTACTCTTAAATGTACTATTTCCAGGGTCGCCATATGTTGAAAGATGATTGGACAGTGTGTCCACATTGTGACTTCCCTGCTCTGTACTCAGAATTAAAAATGTAAGTGTGCATCTTTTTACTCAGTCGCACAGACGTTTCATCTTTATCCAAAAATAGGCCTCTCATTCTACCAACAGACCTTTCATCTTTATCCAAAAATAGGCCTCTCATTCTACCAGTCTTTTATTCTGAAGTCCCTTGTTTGTTCATGTTTCTAAAGATCCCTTAAAGACTCAAATCATCTTGGGAGAACCTTCTATGACCCTTGAGAACATTATGCATAAAGA